TGCGATTTCACCGGCACCCCTAACTCTCTCTCATTCTGTCTCATCAATGCTCGCTCCTTAATCAACAAAATGTTTTACTTCACGACATTATCCTTAATTTGCAACCCGTCTCTCAAAATGATTACTGAAAGATGGTGCACTCCTCAGATTTGCGATAAAGATATTTCCATTGATAACTATTACGTATTCAGAGGTGACAGAAACCATGGCAGAGGGGGAGGATGTGCTCTGTATATCAGGTCTGATATTAAGGCCACACAGTGCTTCTACCCAGAGCTCATCACAAATAACAAATCAGTTTGGGCTATTCTAAGGCTGTCTCACTTCAATTCCTATCTTATAGGTTGCATCTATCATCCCCCATGCTCAACTGTTGAAGGTGATATGAAGCTTGCTAGCACTTTCGCTTACGCCACTTCACTACCTCACACGGCTAAAATTATATGTGGGGACTTTAATATGCCTGAGGTAGTCGGCAACCACTTTCCTCACCAAAACGGTATAATGAATTTTTTAACATAATAGAAACAAAAGACTGGCAACAACACGTAAGGCATCCTACCAGGCTATCTAAGATTTTAGATCTAGTTTTCACTATTGGTATCATCCCCACTACCCTTCGTGTAGGTATAGAGGTTCCTGGCAACGACCACAGAGTATCATTTGGTACATTCAACATTAACACCAGCATGAGTTCGACAACTTCAGAAATCACAAAGAATGTTTAATATCAGAAGCACTCCATATCAAGTGGAATCAAAATTGCCTGAATAGGAATGATGGACTAAAACAGAATCTGACCTGGTTACAACACATCCCTCCCCCCATCAAGTGACAAAACCAACACGAATGTGATAAGCACTTTCATTATGTAAACACACGCTGCTTTTATAATCTTATACACTTATCAAATCCAACAATCTACACATGATGATTTTGTTATCTTTACCAATTCACCAACTTAACAACTAAAAAAAATGTCCCCAGACAGACGAACGATGGTCAAGTTAGTAAACTTTATTTCGATATCATAACAGACATACTATTACCTTTGTTATTTGGTATAGTTATCTTCATCGCTATTTTTACTTTCAATATGTCCCTTTAACTTGACCCATGTCTATTTTCTCACCCCCTAACTGTTTGTTATATATATGCTGAGATTTTGTAAATTCCGGTTTAATAACACTTTGATAAAGCTATTAGCATTAAATGGCGAAACGTCAGTAAAAACAATATCGTTTTGTTTTTCATTCATTGGGAAATACAAAATCCTTTATTATAATGAATATCATATACCCAATGCCCAAATTTTTTCAAACCGTTAAAAGTGAACTTGGTTTACACATATATAACATGTGTCTATATGTATGCGGTAACGTCTGTTCCCAAACCAAACACAGACACATATCTTGGGGTAACATACTCAGATTTAACCTGAAGGAATCCAATATGGAAATAGACACCATTGAGAAGTCGTTGCTCCGTTGCTGTCCAACCCACTATATCAGTTTGGGTAGTCTGCTGAAGTCCGAGTGCATGTTGGACCTTATGGGGAACAAACTTACTAAATGAATCCTGTCCCCCTACGACGTTCTCGTATACATTCTGGCTGAAAATATGCCGCTAGACAGAACTCAGAGGGAAGTGCCTGCGTGCAACACACCCTCAGGAAACTGCCACCTAATCAGGTTCAGGAAAAGGTCAAGAATCTACACGTGTACCGTTTAAATCGGGTAGCCTTATTGATGTCAGAAACCTCCAGTCGTCTAACGAACCCGCTAGTTGATCCACACTTTATTATTATTCATTTGAGTTCCGATTGGAACACAGGGCATCAACACCACATCTCTACTTTGTTCTCTTCTCTGCTATCCTCTTCAACTGCGTCCACGGCTGACCACAATCTCTCATCTCCTCCTCACACGATCTCCTCCGTGTCACGCTCGCACTGACGACCCACTCGTCGCTTCCCATTAGGATCATACTAGACCGATGGCCTGCGTTGCACGCGATGTCATTCGACGGTTTACTCAATGTATGCCCGTTCCACCTCCACTTTCTCCTAGATATTTATTGAGCGATCGGCCCTTGGTTAGTTAGTTCCCAGCCAGAGTTTCTTGTTACTCATTCTTTCTGGCCAGCCATTTGACCTTCACTATGGAGCCAGCGAAGGCAGCTGTCAATGAAAGTCTGTAACCTGTTGGAAATCCTTTTCGTGGCACGCAGTGCAAGTTTCTGATCCGTAAAGAATAACTGACCGGCTTCATATTTGTGTTAAAAATCCAAATCTTGTTATCTATGCTGAGGCAGTGCAGAAGATTTGCAAGCTAGTCTCAGGTTAGTTAAGGCGTATCTTGACTTTCCGATTCTGAGTTTGGCATCTTCATCCGTTCCGACTGCTTGAAGTTGAAGTGTTGCTTCCCAGATAAGTGAAGGAGGAAACTTCTCTTAAATCTCTCCTGTTGATGGTGATTGATAGTGGTTGTTGTCGCTTGGTTGGTTATCTTCACCTCCGTCTTCTCCATGCTCTTCACCTGTAAGTCTTCGAGTTTCTGTGATAATAGACACATCATCTGCGAAACCCAGATCTTCTAGAGTCTTCATATCAATCGTCCAGCGTATTCCTGTCTGCTTGCTCCCTCTGCACAGTCTTCGGTATAATCCCGTCCGCCACAATTAAGAATATCATCGGGGGCAATAGACAGCACTGTCTTACTCCTGTATGCACTTCGAACGCCTCACTGAATGAGTCTTCCGTTGTAGATCACCTGACACGCAGCATTATCGTATGACCAGCATTTGAATGAGGTTGACAAAGACTTGAGGCACGCCATAGTGTTGAAGTAGATTCCAAGCTACCTCTCGGTAAGCGCTGTCTGTCGAAGGCCTTCTCGAAGTCGACGAAGTTAAGATAGAGGTCTGACCACCATTCTATGCTTTGTTCGGTGATGATGCGTAGATTTGCGATTTGATCAGCACATGATTTGCCTTTCCTGAATCCAGCTTGTTCCGAGCTGAGTTCTGTACCCAGTGCATCTTTAATTCTCCCCGGAACTATGCGACTCAGTATTGTACTTGGCGTGGACAAGAGCACCATTCCGCGCCGGAGGAGAGCTTGACAAAGTAGCCCGCTTTTCTTCCAATCGGTAGGTAATTTTCCTTCCCTCCAAACCTTTTGCAATAACAGTGTGAGCATATCTACTGCAGTCTCTGGGGCCATTTCCAGTGCTTCGGGGGGAATTACATCTGGTCCTGCTGCCCCCTGAACTTCAGTTGCTTGATCGCATTCAGGATTTCTTCTTTCGTTGGAGGAGTGGTGTCCACTGGCAGTTCTGTCCGTGCTGTTGGTGGCATTTCCGAACGATTTGCAGGTGATGGTAGATCCAAGAGTCCTTTAAAGTGATCGGCCCATCGTTTGATTTGCTTCTCCTCCTTGGTGATCAAGTTCCCTTGAGCATCTTTTATTGGTCTCGTCATCTGGGTTGATCTCTTCCCGCGTAGAGACTTGGTTATCTGACACAGTATCCGGAGGTCTCTTTTGCCTGTGGCCTGACAGCTCTGCTTCAGTTGCCAGTGTGTCATAAAATTGTCGTTTGTCTTTTCTAACACTCGCCTTCGCTTCTTCATTCAGTGCAGTGTACACTGAACTCAGCTTCTCCTTCTGTCGTCCATCTTTGCATTGAGTCATCACCATTTTCTTTCGTCATCCTCCTCTCCTCAATTAGCTTCCAGGTATCTGTTGAGAGCCATTCCCTTTTTTATCTTCTTCCCAGAACAGTTGTGCACGTTTCCTTGAACATCACATTCAGAGAGTCCCAATGTTCTTCCACACGGGTCTCCTCAGTCATGCCACGTGGTGTCTCCGAAGTTGTTCTGATCTGATCTCTAGTGAAGGCATCCCTTGTGGTTTCGCCCTTCAGTTTCTGAATGTTGGACTTGAATTTCGACCTGTCTCCAGTTGTTCTGAGAGATTTCAGCTTCACCTCGAAGGTTCATAAAACTGGATGATGGCCTGAGCCCGCATCTGCTCCCCTTCTTAAGACTGTGTTCAGCAGGTTGTGTCTCCACTTCCTTGAGATTGATATGAAATCTATCCGTTTGTGGTATGTCCGTCAAGCAAAATCCATGTTGCCTTGTGTATATCTTTGTGTTTGTACACGCTCCCTTCGATCACCAAATCATTGAAAGAGCAGCAGTTTGCGAATAATCCTCCCTTCTGATTCATTTCGCCGAGGGCCTTTCGACCCATGATGAATTCTCCTCCTGCATCATCACCTCCAAGTTTGGTATTCATATCGCCGTTTGGGATGTTGTCCATTACTGTTTGTAGTTGTCTGTAAAAATCCTCCTTCTTTTATTGTTCCGCGTTGTTTTTTGTAGTCCTGTGCGTAACACTAGATAATAGTGACCTCCATTCCTTCCAAGTTTAATCTTGCCGTCATTATCCTGTGTGAGATTGGTTCCCACTGCATAAGAGCTTTGGCTGCTGTTGGTGGCATCATGATGGCGACTTTTTCAGAGGTCGAAGTGGATTTTTGACTCTCCAGTTACCGATTCGGATATTCTTTGTCGATTCCACTTGCTTTCGAACATTCTTAGTACCTGTATGCCGTATCTTTTCTTTTACCGTGTTTTGAATTTTCTTTACCGATTTGGTTGATTTTCCAAGGTATTGTCACTAGGCTTGTACCCAGCCTGCCTTCCTTTGCCTGGCTTAGGTCGGGCTAGAAAATCAGAAAACCGGGAGAGTTTAGGAAACGCAGAGTAAACATTTTATTGTACAGTTTGTCAGCAAACTAAAAGCTTCTAGCCGTCTGCTACTCGAATGGTTGGTTTGATGCTATTCGGTGTCTGCCGCATTTTATCTACACCTTTTAAACATCTGGAATCATTTCAAAATATTATGAAGTCAGCTGTGTGAAGGTTATGGAAACCAGTAACATATATTTCATATTGAAACACTGAACGAAGCGCCCCTATTGATTTTCTTCCGAACTATGTACAACGGAATAGGTCTCCCGACGCCTCGTGGGAGTGGGACCAATGGATATGTACAAAAGAATTTGGCTTTCATTAATAACTTCAAGGAGCAAAATCCTTACAAGACCGACGATGAAATCAAAAGAGCAGATGCAGTGCTTTTTAAGGAACCAAATAAAGAGATATTAGAGCATGAACGCAAACGAAAAATTGAAGTCAAATGTTTCGAAATGGAACAAGAAATGGAGGAACAAGGGTAAGTCGTTTCTTTCTAGCATTTTCTTCAGCTATACGCCAGGGGAAATAGAATTCCGAGTCAGTGGATTCCGGAAGAAATTACTTGAAGAGTTGAAAGCAACATCTCAGGGCAGGAAAATTCCCAATGTCGAACCCTTTGAAATTTCGCAGTCGGAAGATGGGAAACTGCTACCCAAAGGAACCCATGAAACAGCTGCCGTAACTATCCTGAAGAACACGGTCTTTAAGGAAGCCCTTGGTATCGGTGAACAATTTCAAGATGGCAATTCTGTAGAACTGGCAGCACAACGGAAAAAGGATGATGGAGAAACAAAACGTCTCATGGACGTTCAAAAAGAGTTAAAGTACGTTTCAGATCACTTGTGAAGAGGGCTGTGCACCGTTTAGTGTGATGCTTAATGTAGTAACTCAGAAAGAGTTGTATGGTTACGTAATTAATATAAAAACGCAACACTAAGAACTACATAGTGCACATGGAAAGCACTTTAGGCTTTACTCCGTATCCTGCATAAATTTGGTCCTCAAACAGCTTTAACCGGTTACTTGGTTATCAAATTTAGAAACGTTTTTGTATACATCATTTTAGCTGTAAGAAATTTTAAGAAGTACTGAAGGAGTTATTTAATTGTTAACTTTCATAACTCATTGTGATTGGGAAAGCCACGTATATTTTTAACCAGGACATGTTTCGTAATAAGCTCCCCGTAATTAAGAGTTGGGAGCCACGTGACTAAGTGGTGTCTAACCATACACGAGTCAGTTTGAATAAAGGTCTCCTGCCCAACTGTTCTTCAGAGAAGATTTGTCTCATTATAGTCCTTACAGTCAGCTGCTGCGAATTTTAATTGTGATTAGTACCCATTATCTTTTATAGCTCTATGACTTATTAGCTACCTTAAAAACAGGTTCGCACACTAGCATAGAGCACGTTGATTGTAGTTGATAATATTTTTTGTCATTCCTTCATAAGAGAAATGTGTCAATTCTAAATCTAGCTAGAGTTAAGGCTGTGAGCGCAGCATATTTGGTTCTATTTTAGTGGTTGTTGCATAAAAGATTACTTTTTGAAGTGTGGTGAAAAGCCCACAGCAGTCAAGCTTTGTTTTGTGTAAACTTTAATTACTGTTTATATCAAGAGTTCCTAGTCCTAAGACCATATGTAGTATTGGTATAAGTATGAAAGTTCTGTCTACCAAGTAGTAGCATTAGTTCTTAAATTAGATTGCTTGAGGTCGCTTATTTTTGATTTGATATAATCCACCATTTAATGAGTGTTTCTAGTTTGTTCAGTTCACTTAAAAAACATGTGGATACATATAAGGGCTCAGAAAAATTCGTTCACTTCTGACTTTCTAAAATAAATCATTTGTAAAATTTTAAAATAAGTATATTGTTGAGTTTCATTCTGTAGGTGCACGGATAACTGAAAATATAAAATAATGCAACAGAGGTAGTTATCCTTATCTTGATGCATAACGCCTTTAATACAGAAGAAAGTTGTTCAATCATCCTTCTTTCGAAGTCTTAATCCGTTTCTATCAAATTGTCTATAGATAAAGCAATAAGAAGACGTAATTTGTCTGAATCGTGTAATGTATTTGCGCAACACATTTCGAACAATCTGATCACACACGGACTTGTCATAGGAATATATATGAAATTAATAAAGAGGTAAGAGGTGAGAAAATAGACTTAGGTCAAGTTAAAAGGACATATTCAAGGTCAAAATAACAATGAAGACCACTAAACCAAATAGCAGAGGTAATAGTACATCTGCTATGGTATCAAAACAAAATTTACCAAGGAAGGTTTAATGTGATGACAAACTGTTTTTAACGCATAAAGGTGGCTTAAACTTTCTAATTGCTAGGGTTTCCATGAACTTTAGGATACGCCCCAAACACCTTTTATAGATAGGTTTAAAAGATCTGTTAACGTCAATTTTATGTCCTATCTCTATAATATGTTTCGCAATAGAAGAGCTAGGTCTCCTGTTCTCATCGTTAATAGGTTCTGTAGCTCTTACTTACAGAGATCGATGAGTCCTCCCTATGTATGTGTGTCCACACATACATTCAAATTGGTAAATACAGTGGGATGTTCGAAGGGCTTAGATAGATATATTGGCTTTACATTCTCAATAATTATGATATTGGCTGCATAAAAGGTCTTTTTGACAGCAGCGTTCAGTCTGTGTCTAGTTATCAAGCTGCTTTGATGCCCCATATAGGGTAGCTTGATGTACACGTCTTTCTTAGGGGCGAGTTGGAGAGTGGGTCTTGGTGTTCTGACTACTTTATATCTCCTGATGAACTTTTCTGGATAATTTTTGTCAACCAGAGTTTGTGTCAACTTTCTTTCTTCTTCATCAAGTGTGTCTTCAGTGCATATTCGTTGGTTTCTACTGAAGAGGCACCTTACTAAGGCTCTTTTGTACCAAACAGGGCAGAAACTGTGATAATTAAGATAATGTCCTGTCCAGGTAGGTTTTCTATAAATAGATTTTTTATTGACCCATCAAGCCGTCGACTAAGCAATATGTCTAGGAAAGATAAACAATTATCTTCCTCTTCTACAGATGTAAGTGATATGCTATTCTGAGCTTCATTCATTCGATTTAAGATTGATATGGCAGAACAAGACTTATCACTGATGATTACAATATCATCTACATACCTTCTATAAAGTGGCACATTTTCGATTAAATCCTCCGATAAATTCTCAATGTACGACATATAAATATCTGCTAAAAGGAGCCCTAACGGACTTCCCATAGCAACACCATCAACTTGGCGGAAACAACCGCCTTCAAATGTAAACCTAACATTGTTAGTACATAGAAGTAATAAATCCCTTAAATAAGATATAGGGAACGGGATGGAAAAATTGTTTGTGGAAATATAGTCACACAAAATGTCAACTGTTTTGAGCAAAGGCACATTAGTGAATAACGAGTTTACATCAAAAGAGTACATATTCTTATTCATAATATTAATATTACTATCGTCAAGAAAATCAACCAATTCAAATGTATCTTTTTTTAACACATACTTACAGAATTGTGTTTTGACTGGATGCAATAATTCTACTAACCATTTAGCAAGTTTGTGTTGGGGATTTGCACATTGACAATATAGGACGTAGAGGATTATTGGGTATATGTATTTTTGGCAAGCCATACATATGCGGGAATTTACAATCTGATGGTTTTAATGAGTCAAATTTATCTTATTTTCTACATTCGTTTTGGCTTTCTCAGTAACGTCTTTACAAAACTGAAGAAATTTCATTTGGCATTTTATTGATAATTCAGATAAAATAAGTGACGCATCGGTATGAAGAACAAGTAATCCTTGTAACGTTTGTTTAACATTTTCGCTATGTCACTTTGTAAGACGAACAAGATTAGACATATTTGGTTGTTATATACTGAATTTCAAAGTTTTATAAAATTGCCTCACTAAGGAATGATTTTTAATACATAATTCATAAAATTCCAACGTGTTACGTTCGACGATAATTTTACACCTAAGGTTAACAAGTTCATTTAACCTTTTTATAGTGTGTGGAGGGAGTCTTCTCTTTAAAAATTTAATACAATTAGTTCCCTTTGTGAATTTAGACAAGCAATAAGAAGATGTATGACCAACTCAAACCTCTTGCCGCAACATCCGATGAAGAACGGGGTTGGTTTAAGGCCAAGGTGGTGGATATAGCTCATCAGTTTTTAAACAGCAACCCAAAGGAGAAAAGTATTTTAAATTCCCAGCATTTCAAAGCCTTGAAAGAGCTAGGGGAAAACGTAACACATTGGAATTTTATGAATTATGTATTAAAAATCATTCCTTAGTGAGGCAATTTTATAAAACTTTGAAATTCAGTATATAACAACCAAATATGTCTAATCTTGTTCGTCTTACAAAGTGACATAGCGAAAATGTTAAACAAACGTTACAAGGATTACTTGTTCTTCATACCGATGCGTCACTTATTTTATCTGAATTATCAATAAAATGCCAAATGAAATTTCTTCAGTTTTGTAAAGACGTTACTGAGAAAGCCAAAACGAATGTAGAAAATAAGATAAATTTGACTCATTAAAACCATCAGATTGTAAATTCCCGCATATGTATGGCTTGCCAAAAATACATATACCCAATAATCCTCTACGTCCTATATTGTCAATGTGCAAATCCCCAACACAAACTTGCTAAATGGTTAGTAGAATTATTGCATCCAGTCAAAACACAATTCTGTAAGTATGTGTTAAAAAAAGATACATTTGAATTGGTTGATTTTCTTGACGATAGTAATATTAATATTATGAATAAGAATATGTACTCTTTTGATGTAAACTCGTTATTCACTAATGTGCCTTTGCTCAAAACAGTTGACATTTTGTGTGACTATATTTCCACAAACAATTTTTCCATCCCGTTCCCTATATCTTATTTAAGGGATTTATTACTTCTATGTACTAACAATGTTAGGTTTACATTTGAAGGCGGTTGTTTCCGCCAAGTTGATGGTGTTGCTATGGGAAGTCCGTTAGGGCTCCTTTTAGCAGATATTTATATGTCGTACATTGAGAATTTATCGGAGGATTTAATCGAAAATGTGCCACTTTATAGAAGGTATGTAGATGATATTGTAATCATCAGTGATAAGTCTTGTTCTGCCATATCAATCTTAAATCGAATGAATGAAGCTCAGAATAGCATATCACTTACATCTGTAGAAGAGGAAGATAATTGTTTATCTTTCCTAGACATATTGCTTAGTCGACGGCTTGATGGGTCAATAAAAAATCTATTTATAGATTGTTGTAAATATTAAATTGTCGGTAAAATAGTGGAATAATTCGGAAGTATTAAGTGTGCCCATGTTAGGATCACTCAGTCTTATTACGCAATTCTGTCCATGATAATTCACCCTTATGTTTTCGTTAAATTCTGGTCAATGCTCCCTAATCCCAACATGTAAAATTCACTGTACTAGTCACAAGCTATCTAGAAGGTGAAACTACATAAATTAATCAGAATTTGTTTATAGTTGCCATTGTACAACTGTAGTTAGTGAAATCGTCGAAAAAATCTCTTCATTGAATCTCTTGTTTTATAGGCTCCACAAGATAATGTGCTATGAAGTTTGTTTCGAAGTGGTTGGCGAGTTGAAGTTCAAGCTAATAGAACACCGGAACTTTGAGAGATTTAGATTGGTAGACGTTACTGTGATAATAAATCTGGACCAGTTCACTTGTAGCGTTAAACGCAAGGGCATAATATTATGGGTCAAAGTAGTAGTCTTAAAATCTATCTCAGTAGATTGTAAGAAGCTAATAGCG